GTTTATTGGAGTTAATGGGGGGTGAGGAGTTATAGAGTAGTAGTGTGAGGTTATTGGAGTTAGTAGAGTTAGTAGTGTGAGGGTTTTGGAGTTGGTGATAGAATATGGAAGTGACGTGAGTGGGGGGCGATGGGTTGGGGAGTTAATGAGGTGGTGGTGGGTTAGTGGCGGATAGATGAGTGAATAGGTGGGTGAATGAATGGTTGAGTGAGTGGGTGAGTGAGTTGGTGGGAAGGTGGGTGGGTAGATAGCTGGGTTGATGGAAGGGTGTGTGGGTGGCTGGGTGAGTAAGTAGGTAGGTGAGTGAATGGGTGGATGGACGGGTGGATGTTTAAAATGGAGGGGTGAGTGAGTCATTAAGTGAGTGGGTAAATTAATGAATGATTGAATGAGTGAATGGGTGGATGAGTGATTGAGCAACGAGTAAGTGAGTTATATACTAAGTTGTTTCTCTTAAAAGGTGAGGAAATTAGAGAAACTAAAAGGAACCTGTGATATACAATATTTTATATCTTCAAACAGTTACACGGTTAAGACCAAAAAGGGGCAAAGATTTATTTTTACACTGTAATGCCCCGATTAAAAAACATCCCACAAGAGAAAAAATGAGAAAAAGAAGCATAGTCTCGTCCATAAATCTCTCTCCCCCTCCCCATGGGCCTACTCTACTCCCCCCACTCTCTTCCTTCCTCCTCTTCCCTCCTTCCCCTCCTTCCGCCTCCTTACCCGCCTATATATCTCCGAACTCCTCCCCCCCTTCTCTCCTTATCCATATACGAACCCACTCCTTTCTCTATCCCAACCCCCCCTTCTCCCCTTACTCATCTGCATATCACCCCCCTTCTACCCCCCTATCCACGTACAAAACCCTCCCCTCCCCCCCTTTATCACTCCCTTCTACCCCCAATCCATCACCCTCCCCCCCCATCCCCTCCCCGTGGGGAAAATTGCAAGGGTAGGATTATTACACATAATTTCGCACATTATCTTTGCACACCGGAAGCCTGCATGGGGTGGGGGGAGGGGGAGGGGTGGGAAAAAAAGAGAGATGGGGTTGGGAGAAGGAGGGGATGAGGAGAGAGTTGGGAGAGGGAGGGGGTGGGGAGAGGTTGGAGAGGGAGGGGGTGGGGAGAGGGTTGGGAAGGGAGGGGGGTGGGGAGAGGGGGGAGAGGGAAGGGGTTGGGAGAGGGTTGAGAGAGGGGAGGGGTCGGCAAAGGGATATGGTGGGGAGAGGGGCAAAGAGAGTAAGGAGTGAGAAAAAGCTAGAAAGTAAAGGGCGAGAAAAAGGGAGATAGAAATTAGGCAAAGAGAGAAGGCGAAGAAAGAGAAGACAGCGTACCAAGAAAATGGTCTAGCGAAAAAAGAAGAAGCAAGTGAGCAACAGAAAGAGGAAAAGAGAAATGAGCGATTAGGGCAGGATAAAGAAGGAAAGAAAAGAGGAAAAGGGAATGAATGACAGAAAGAGAGAAATAGAAGGGAGAGTGATAAGGGCAGGGCAAAGAAGGAAAGAGAGAAGGATGAGGGAAGAAGAGAAGAGAAACAGTACAAAACCAAAGAAAGATGGAAGAGACCGAAAATAGAGGATTCCAGAAAGAGAGAGAGGGAGAAGAGAATGTGAATTAAGAAAATGGAAGATAGCGAGAGAAATAGGAAAAAAGCGGGAGAGAGAAAACAGGAAAAGGAAGAGTGAGATGGAAGAGAGCTAGAGAAAGAGGAGGAAAAAGAAGCTGAGATGAATGTCTGAAAGACAAAGGGTGAGAAAGGAGGGTAAAAGAAAGAGAGAAAATGCTGAGAGAAAGAGAGAGAAAGGCGAGACAAAAAATGGGAGCGAAAGAGGAACAAAGACGATTGCAAGAAAAAGGGGGAAAGAGGCCGAGAAAAGAAGCGAGAGAGTAAAAGAATAACGGGTGAGAGAAAGAGGGCGAAATAAGAAGGACGAGAGAAAGAGGACAAAAGAAAAATGGGGGTGGGGGTGGGGGCAGAGAAGAGGAGATAGAAAAAGCTCGAGAGAGAAAGAAAAACAGAAAGACCCAGAGAGAAAAAGGCGAGGGAACGAAGGAGAGAGAAGAGATGAGAGAGAGAGGCGGAGAGAAAAAGGACAGAAAGACTTAGAAAGAAGAGGGCGAGAGAAAGAGAAGGGGAGAGCTCCGAGAACCCACATTCCCACAGGCGATGTCCGAGTGTTTGTCGCAGAAGACCCAAGTGCTCATACAAAGAGGGGAAAAGAGGGGACACACGAGGCTATTAGGGATAAACAAAGAGAAAAAAAGAACAAAGAGGGCCAAATGATAATAAAAAAAATAAATAAATAAAAAAAAATTGCCCTCATGTCTTTGTTAAGAATATTATTGATGTGGATAAATTCGGTTTTGGGTTCAGGGGGATAGGCTTGCTGTCGAGAGGAATGGGATATTTCAGTTTATTTGGGGTTTTAAGTGTTCTAAGAGTTTGCTTGAAGTTGCTGATTTTGCAGATTTTTTCATCTATTGGAGTCAGAATATTGATGGTCTCATCTGTTTGTCCCTCTCTCCCTCTTTCTCCGTGCAAATATATATACACATAGCTACATACATGCATGCATATGTATATATATATATATATTATTATATATATATATATATATATATATATATAATATATATATATATATATATATATATATATATATAATAACACACACGACATCACACACACACACACACACACACACACACACACACACACACACACAACACACACACACACACACACACAACACTGACGTACATACAGATACGCATCCGTGTGTGTGTTTCAGCATGCAGGAGTGTCCCGTATTTTTGTCAGTGGAAAAACAGTTCAAGTGAATTGCTATATTTTGACCATGAACATGAACGCATTATGATTCATGATTTCCTTTTTATCCGCTCTTTGAAACAGCGGCGAAGGTTTAACTTTCCAGTGATAAATAGAGATTTTTTCCCTCTCCGCTTTAACAATTTCATAAAAAGTTTCCTCATAATCATGCATTAATACCATGACTAAATTCGGCGGTGGCATGTAAGGCAAACGGGTCTATTTAAGAGAGAAAGAAAGAAAAAGAAAAAGAAAAAAAAGAAGAAAGAAAAATAAAAAATAAGAAAAAAGAAAGAAAGAAAAAAAAAAAATGAAAAGAAGAAGAAAGAAAAAAATCAAAAAGCAGAGCGGGTAGTAATACAGACAAACAAGTCTATAAAAAATAAAACATATATATAAAAAACACAAATTTACGAAGCAGAATCTATTCCAAAAATCGAAATCAAACTTCCAAACAAAGGAATCTATTTGATAAACAAGAAATATTTATGACACGAACACGGATTAATAAAACACAGAAGAGCCATTACCCTGACGCCACCCCCGAGGACATGAGAGTAAGGAAAGGGGGAAGACTGAATGATGGCGAAGTGAGAGGATAGAGGGAGGGAGAAGAGGGGAAGAGGGGCTGGAGAGGGGAAGAAGGACACCGCCCCTCGTAATGAGTTCACTGCTGGGGCACGTGAAGTAGGGAAGGGGAAGGGAAGAAGGAGAAGGGAAGAAGGAGAAAGGGAGAAGAGAGGAAGGAAGAAAAGAGAGATGGAGGGAAGGGAGGGAAATGGGAAAAGGGAAGGAGAGAAAGGGAGAGGAAAGGAAGAAAGAGAGAGGAAGGGAAGGGGAGAGGGAGGGAAAGGGAAGGGAAGAAAGGAGAAGGAGATGAAAGGAAGAAAAGAGAGGGAGGGCAAAAGGGGAGGAGAGGGAGGGAAATGGGAAGGGAAGGAAGGAGAAGAAAAGGAAAAGGGAGAAAGAGAGAGGAAGGAAGGGGAGGAGAAGGAGGGAAAGGAAGGAGAGAAAGGGAAGGGAGATGAAAGGATGAAAGAGAGAGGAAGGGAAGGGGAGGAGAGGGAGGGAAAGGAAGGAGAGAAAAGGGGAAGGAGATGAAGAAAGAAAGAGAGAGGGAGGGAACGGGAGAAGGGAGGGAAAAGGAAGAAGAACGGAGAGGAAAAGAAGAAAGAGAGGGTAGGAAGGGGAAGAAAGGGAGGAGAGGAAGGAGAGAAAGAAGGGAAGAAGGAGAAGGGAATAGAAAGGAAGAAAGAAGAGGGAGGGGAGGGAGAGATGGAGAAGGAAAAAGAAGGGAAAGAAGAATAAAAAGAGACAGGAGGGAAAAGAAG